TTTTCGACCCCTGTGACGTCATCTTTGACCTGACCTGAAAATGACCTTAGTAAAAATTGTATATCTTGGCCGTGCGTATCCGATGCCGTTTACCGCTTGTCGCTATCTTGCTTCGTTCTCGAGATCTCAGGGGGGGGGCGGTCATCCGCCCCCCCCCCCCGTCGGTACGAAGTTGGCGCAGACCCCCGTCGGTGCGCGGGTTAACAATTGTTCCGTAAACAGGTCATTTTAAACATTCAGCATTAGTTACCTTACCGCGGCTTTTAAATGGAAACACTCAGCCACGGCCACCAACCAGTATCAGTATAAACCATTGTATGAAATCATTTGCCAGATACTTTGGTGGTCACTCTCAAAGGCAGGCGGATGATGATGGTGCTTTATTTATTTATTTATTTATTTATTTGGGGTCAAGGACAACAGGCATACGTAGGCCCATTTAATGTCCAAGTACTCAAAATCAGTCAAATGTTACACACAAACACTGGGACAAAAACATTGCGACTACGATACAATTTTACAATTCTTTTACATATGTTGACACATTGGCCCTAAGTTCCCTTAAAGAGTCATGGAATACATCAGCATCAGTACACTGAAACAAAAACTTATTAACAAACGATGGTGCTCTAACAAAAAGTGACCTTTGTACCGCGTCTACTCTCGCAAATGGAACATGAAAGACACCACGTGCTTGTTCGGTGTTTCTCGTTGCCCTTGGCGCGATAAATAGAGGGAAATGGGCTAAAAGGGCTGCACAATCAGTATGATTTTTATACAATTTGGCAACAAACATAATGTAATATTGTCGACGCCTATTCTCTAGACATGCGACGCCAAATAATCGCAGCAAAGCAAGTCACTGTAGTCTGTAATCAATAGCTGATGGTGAGTCTTGACATCGAGTATAACAATATAGCCAATATAAGAAACGTTGTTGCACCCTTTCGATTCTGTCCAGGTCATTTACGTCATTTGCAAAAAAAAAAATATCAATACCTATCCCTATTCCCAGCCTCCCTACCAAAAGCGACAAGCTTGGATACACGGATGACTAATTAGACAAGTGCAACGTCTTTCGAAAGAAATAATCAATATTTCCTAACAAGCTACCTGCATGTTTCACCGTATGTTTGGTAAAATTGATTTTTATGAAAGGTACCAAGCAATCCCGATAAGTGTCGCAAAAGCAGCTAGCAGTAACAATGTCTTGTTTTGCGTCAGTTCATCTATCATCGTCGGCGCCATATTAAAACGGAAGTTTGCTTTCAGTAATGCCCTTCCCAGAATGGTCAAAGCCATGTGTTGGTGTGCACATTTTCGACGTTCCACCACTATTCTGCGTGCAAATACCGTGTGTATACACACACAACTGCCATGCACGGCTGTCAAATATCAATGATCGGATACTGTGTTGACGATGAAGGCTTCGGAAATTTGCCCACGCATGCGCCCCGACTATATATGGATAATCGCTCCAAGGAAGTCAGCCAGTCGCCCCTAAAAGTTTGGAATGGACGCTACAGGTGCACACCGCACGGGGACGCTTTTTCCGACGAATATTAGCACTGCACTTTCAGCTGATGGACGAAAAGCCTCCCTCACACAGAAAGACCGACGTCCTACAGCTACCAGACACACCAAGATCAGACGCCGAATCTTCTGCTCCAAATGGACGCAAGCTTTCCGCCAAAACTTCCAGAAGCAAAGTGAGAGCTCAGGAGGCGGCAGGAGGAGGTCAGGTAAGAGATCAGGAGGTGACAGTTCCCAGCTATGTCCACTGCGTGTGGTGTTACGCAGCGCAGCACGCGGGGCACTTCTTCTACTGATGGCAGCGTTACTCTGGCTTCAGATCATTCAGTACCGGGCACAGCCTGTGAGCACAAGCATCGAACCCCGCCTGGTCGCCTTCCCGAGGCTAACTCTTTGTCCTGGCACGTACCTGAGGAACGACACCTTTGTTGCTGATGCTGTGCGACGCACCAACAACGGCTCGCTCTCAGTGGAGGAGTTCTACCAGTTGATCACCATGGAGATCCGATCGTCTGCGAACACGATGGAAATGCCCAGCAAGCACTATCGATTCACAAAGTCTATAATTGGCAGCACCGATAGTGCACTTGGGTCTTGGAAACAACGCTTCTACCTTTCCTTAAGATCCGGTATCTGGCCAAATCGGTGCATTACGTTCGAACCAAGTCATGAGCTTCTCAATCCGGAAAAGCTCAGCGTTCTTAAGATGGTGTTCAAGCTGCAGACTTCGCCTATGTTTACCACTGACAGAGGCGTTGCCTTCCAACTCTTCTTCCATGGATCCGATGAGCCTAATGTGGGTGATCTTAGTGCTGTCACAGCTAACGATGGCTCGCTGGTCACTCCAAGCGTGCGTCTCTTCGCGGGGCACTCTGCGCAATTTACAGTGACGGCCAAGGTGCGTCAGAGGGTGAACCTCCGTCGACGTCCCTGCATCAGCAAGGTCGGCTACTCCAAGGCCGGCTGCCTCAAGGAGTGTCTGTGGCAGAGACTGACATCGCACACCGGCTGCCGACTGCCACACATGGTGGGAAAAGACGGCGAACAGCCGCCAGCTGCGCTTCGTCACCTTCCCGTATGCGAGCAGCTGTTGTTTTCCTCAAACGGTGAAGGAATGTTAAGTTTGTCAGAACAAATGACCCGTGTCGGAAACCACTCTGAAACGGTTCCAGCTGGAAATCTTGTCGTCCCTCCGGGTCTTATGAAAATCGTGAAGGGGTGTGGCTGCCTGAAAAGTTGCAGTGAAACTAGTTATATCACGCAAGTCCAAGAATCAAAGCCAACCGAACAGGCGAATCGAACCAATTTTATACTCACTTTTTATTTGGCGACCGAAGCCGTGGAGGAGTCTCTGCCATTTTCTTTGAGTACTCTCCTGGCCAATTGTGCTGGGTTTGTTGGAATGGTGACGGGTTTTTCGCTGTTCACTCTAGTGGAAATGGTGGATAAAGTTGCTACAGCAGTCTTCGGCAGGTGGATGAAACGCAGGAAGATTTAACTGAGGGGCCTTGAAAGTTTCACATGAAACTCCTCCGCTCTGCTTTTTCTTTTCTTTCTATCTTGCTTTTTCTCAATTTCCTTCTTCTTTCGCAGTGGAATTAAATTTTCTTCACTATTGACAAACCTCAATCTTAATAAAGAAAAAAGAAAAAAGGAGTGGCAATAGCGAACTAACACTCGTAATAAACAATACACACGACTTCTCAATCATTCCGAAACGATGCTTAGATTACTGCTTCAGAAACCTGTGATTCAAAATCACCATGAAGCAGTGAAGTACTGAGCACACATCTAGTAAAGGAAGTGGACGGTATAGTCATGACCCAGGAAGAATGAGAAGGTCGAAACAGACAGGTGTTGTGCCGGACCTTATACCCGGCGACCAGGTGTGGGTATCACTATCAATGGTGGCAATTACGCCAGATACTGTGTTCTCTTTGTTTGGTAACAAGGCAGAGTGGTTATCTGACCCAGTGAGTGCGTCAACAGTGAGGAAATTGGACATTTGGGCAGTGAGCTGAGCTAACAAGTGACACCTGACAAGCGTTTGTGATTTGTTGCAATATGTGATATATTGACAATTCAACACGGCGTGTTAAACAGACATTTTTCAGCTCGCGCTGCGGTTCAAGGTATTTTGACAATTAAGATTATTACCATCTTTTTGTGCGTATCTTTGAGTATCATATGTTCTTCATAAGTTCCTTGATAACTGACAAGTGACATGTCATATGTTTCTTCAACAGACGTTGTTTACCAGCGGTTTATCTTTTTATCTATTTATCTTTCATAAAATAACAAGTTCAAATAAACGTCGTTTGAAGTCACTGTTGCGTTGCATTTGCATCGATCGGTTTCGCCAATTGGGAAACCGTTCTGCCAACAACTGACCATTGTGGCAATATGACAAAGCGTTCAGTCCATCGTCTATTGACGAACCTCATGGCGCTCTATATATACGGCGAGTGACGAACATTTGTCCTCTGTCAATGTGTTATGCAGAATGACCGAATGATGTTCTTGTTCTATTTTGGCGACAGCCAAACGCGTAGTATTGAACAACTGGCAGGCTATGCAGAATGGCGCAATGCTCGAAGCCTCGAACTGCTGCTCATTTTTGATGGGGTATTGATTATTGGGCATTGGCCATCTGACATCGCAAAATGCGTGTTTCGGGACGTCGTAAATGTTGGCGCGGGCCATAAGCCAGAATTGAACGGCATTTTAGAGACTGGTTGATTGGTTGTTGTTATCCCTTTAGGTAAGATAAGTACATACATTTTTGATAGTTATTTACAATGAATTGTTATTTATATTGATAATGTGCCTCTTTCAGTGCTTGTATCAATAAAAACATTGGTTTGAATCGTGAAATGTGATAAAGGCGCATTCAATTGTCTTTGTGTCACGACGAAGAGAAGATGCAAAATAGAACCAATCACAGCACTTTGTTACAAATCCATAAGCACTGACAAGTAGAGTAATCGTACTTCTTTAATTGGTCGGTATTCTGCATTGCAAATTCTATGTAATCACAAGTCATTTCTGTGTCTTGGTGCGCAATGAGAGTTGCCCCAAGGAAGAAAGTAGGCCAATCAATCACCATTGAAAGATGTGTCGCATACTTTCTGCACTGCAGTCCAACTCTCCAGTACACAATAACAAATACCGCTACAGAGACACGCGCACCCGTTTCTTAGGAGCTCACAGGAATGTTGAGTATCTCCTCTGAACCCGGTATCCACTCGGAGGTAGCGACCAATTTTCCTCGGGGAGAATGACCCACACGTGTGTCCGAGACAGCGCGTTGTCCGCCGCTTTAGCTGGTCCCAACTCGACCCATTTTTCGCAAAGTGCCGGAAATTTCGCGGTGCCCTGACACGCGCATTTTGACGTTCGGCCACTGTCAGGCGCAGAGTCTAGCGGAAAAATTGGGGCAAACAACCGTCTCATGACGGGGATAGATATAAAGTCGACGAACTCTCAGCTGCAGCCAGCAGACCTCAACAGGAGCTCCACTGCACAGCAGACATGAAGGTAAGACAGACAGTTGAGAGTTCAGCAGCGAGATCAAGCATTACTTCTCGGTTGATTCAGTGCGGAGCCGGGGACTCTGACGTCCACCGGTCTCATTGATAGCGTTTCACTTGCAGCAATTGGGCCACGAATCGAGCTCTTCATCAGTCATTCACATAGTTTAGAGAACCTTCTTTTGATCAAAGGGACTTTTCAAGTACTTCATTTTTATTATTTGAAATAGAAAACTCAAATTTGTGGCTCCAATTAGGAGTTTTGTGTTCTACGCCTATATCCGGATATATAAAAATCGCTGTCTGACTGCTGAAATTCACAGATACATAACTCCCCTTCCTGTTCTATTTCAGCTGTCGCTGCTGCTGCTGCTGCTCGTCGCTCTGGCAGCGACTGTTCGCGCCGACGACTGCGATGATGACGACTGCAGCGGCGGGGGAGGCGGAGGCGGCGGCTTCGACTTCAGTGGCGGTTTCGACGTGGTCGGAGGTGACTTCGGCGACATAGGTGCCACTGGAGGCTCCTTCGACTTGGGAGGAGGCTTCGACTCCGGCTTCTCCGGCGGATCGGTCGGCGGAGGAGACTTTTCGTCCTTCTCTGGAGGCGCCGGCTTTGCGGACACCGGCTTCTCAGGAGGTGGATTTGACTTTGGCGGAGGTGCTGTGTCGTCCGGACCAGGCGCGTCGCTGGCAGTTGGAGGCGGCGGAGTCTCTGCGGGAGCGTTCGCAGGAGCTGGAGCTGTCTCCAGTTTCTCCGGAGGCGCTGGACCTACTTTCGTGGGCGGTGGCGGCGGCGCAGGCTTCGGAGCAACCAGTTTTGGAGGAGCTAACTTCGTCAGCGGCGGCGCCTTCGGAGGGGCCGGCTTCGGAGGAGGCAACTTCATAGCAAGAGGTCCTACCCCGAACTTCGCCGGCAGGGGCGCACTGGACAGCTTCCTCTCTAGGCCAGTTAGTATCGCTGGACCGCGGCCCTTCGGCGGGGCTAGTTTTGCCGGAGGAAGCTCCTTCTTCACTGGAGGTGCTGGCCTGCGTGGACGCGGTGCTGGATTCGGTGCCGGCAGGTTCTTCAGCGGTGCCTGCAGGTTTGGATCGGGCTTCGGAAGCGTATACGGACACAGCTCTTGCTACTATCCGTACCATCACTACTACTCCTACCCCAGCTACTACCACTCCTACAACCCATCTTATCACCATTATTCTTACCAATATCCTACCTACAACATCTTCCGAGGATACAACCGCAGACCCTACTACAGTAACATCTACCATCGGCAGATCAACAACTTCAACCACTACTATCCTGATTACAGCTACTACTCTTACCCGACGTACAACTATCGGTACAGCTACCCAACCAGCAACCTGTACCACAGCTCCTTTGGGGGGTACGGTAGCTCTCTTCGCGGTCACCGCGGATCTTTCGGAGGATATGGAAGCTCCTTTGGTGGAATTGGTAGTTCCCTTGGTGGAATTGGTAGCTCCCTGGGCGGATTTGGTAGGTCCCTGAGTGGTTACGGACTTTTTCGTGGGCTAGGCGGCTTGGGACGACGCGGTGGATTCAGGCGTGGGTCTAGGTTCGGATCAGCCGGATTCGGACGCCTTGGAGGGTACGGACGTGGATCCTTGGGTGGTGGGATCCGAGGTGGATTTGGCCGCCGTAGCCTGGGTGGTTACGGAAGCTCCTTTGGCAGGTACGGATCCCTTGGATACGGTTCATCCCTCGGGGGCTTTCGCGGGGCCTTTGGACTCGGTGGGTCTCTTGGAGGCTTCAGTAGCTCCCTGGGTGGATATGGTAGGTCCCTGGGTGGATATGGTAGGTCCCTGGGTGGATATGGAAGGTCCCTGGGTGGATATGGAAGGTCCCTGGGTGGCTTTAGAGGATCCTTGGGTGGCTTTGGAGGGTCCCTGGGTGGTTTTAGCGGATCCCTGGGTGGATATGGAGGATCTCTCGGTTATGGCAGCTCCGGAAGTATCCTAGGAGGTGGTGGAAGCTCGTACGGTGGATCGGGAAGCTACTACTCCATTCCCGACTACAGCTATGCCTACGGTGTCCAGGACCCGTACTCTGGTGTAGACAACACCAAATCGGAGAGCCGCCTCGGCGACCGTACTGATGGCTCCTACTCCACCGTGCTCCCGGACGGCCGAACCCAGGTGGTTAACTACTGGGTGGATGGCGATTCAGGCTACAACGCCGATGTGAAGTACTACGGCGTCGCCCACCATCCGCCGACCTCCTCCACATATGGGTCTTCTAGTTATCAGTGAATCAGTTGAATCAATGAACCAACGAATCACCAATTGTCAATGGAATCCCGCCTCCAATGATATGACTTTTGATACAAGCCAACTTATCCCTGCAAATTGACCATGTGTGAACTGTGTGTGCGTCGAGCAGAGTCGATTTGCTGAATAACTTCGTTAGGAAAATATTTATACTATTTATGTCGTCCTTAATGTATTAGGAGATCGGAATGCGTCTATGTTTTTCAGCTTACGTCCTATAGTGTTGTGGCGCCAAGCGCTTGTTCCTTTGTGTTTAATCAGCAGAAGAGAATCGAAGAGTACCTAGTACTGTGATTGATGTCTTGGATAATAGAAGTTTCTTCGTGTATCTGTGCTTCGAATACACCAGCAGCAACATCCTGCGTTTTTAAACTTGTTGATATGTTGATAAACAAGCTTTCATGCAATCGATCTCACATTATGTGTTACCGGTGACGGTTTGTGCACTGCACTGCTTTTTTATTCTTTGGTAGTGTCATTGAAATGCGTGATATTTTCAAATCCCATAAATACCTATTAATGATGACAATTTATAAACAATATTACATAAATAAAATAGCATTCATATTTTTTTATTATAAAAAACGCACATTTAGGTATTTAGCCTAAATTCTACCTTCCTGAGCCCTGACGTCACACAACACACACGCGGCTTCGCTCTTATCCCGCGCCCCGTAGGGCTACCGGCGGACCCTACCACCCGTAGGGGGGGGGGGGGGGTTCGGCCCCCCCCCTGAGATCTCGGAAATTTACCGGCCGATTTTCAAAATTCAAACGGCGTTCGATAGCCCCACCGAGGAACTACCTTGTGACCAAATTTCATTGACCTAGGTCAAACCGATGACGTCACAGGTCAGGTCAAAGGTCAGGTTTTCACCGTTCACAGGCATTTCAAGAAATGTGTTGTGAAATCGAGTAAATTGGTAAGTTATTGAAAACCATCGATGGTACATTGTTCGTCAAACACATACTTCGCTATATGAGGTCACTGATAGCAGGTCAGGTCTCAGAGGTCACGTCACTGGGGGTCACAAAATGAAAGTATCGTGTGATACATGTTTTATGGTCCATTTTACATGACAAATGCGATTATGTGGGTCAGGCAGCCTTTGGGGTCAGTTTAAATTATGTTCCGGTGAAGGTCAGATCAAGGTCAGGTCAAGGTCAGGTCAAATTATGTCAAATTTCAAAGTTGATATTTTTGCATAAAATGGGTATCCATTCGATGCAGCTCGTCACGGGGAGTCCAATGGTGGTCTTTGTTTTGCCCTACGTGGTCTAGAATTGCCTAAAATTGAGTTTGAAAATTTGACGTCATCATTTTGGAACAGTTTTTTCGCTATAACTTGGCCAAAAAAGGAGATATTGATCTGAATTTTGGTATGTAGATAGAAGGTGGTAAGTACTATCACATATATTCCGGGTTTTTCGAAACTCAAAAAACTTTTTGGATTTTTTGCTAATATATCTTAGAAATTGCATTTTTGATTTTTGGGATCCAAAACTCAAAAATTTCAAAAATCCGAGATGGCAGTTTTATAGCCCTGTCAATTCTTCACCTTTTATGTCTGATCAAATTTTTGTATCTTTAAAGCTGTAGGGCTGACAGCTCTTCTCGCGAAGGTCTTTTTTGGGTCGAAAATGGCAGAGCACGACGTCATTCTGACGTCATTTTTGGCCAACCTATCATAGCCTCTGAAAAATGTTTTGGTCACAATGTGTAAAATTGATACCCGGAGGGGTCCTGAAAGTTTGGTGGCGATATCTCCAGCCGTTTAGGAGATATCGTCGGAAAAGGACAGGGAGCCGTTTCGCCCCCCCCCCCCTACGGGGCGGGGGTTATGTTATCCGATTGGTGACGTCATAGCTGAGAACACGCTGCGCCCTGTGCAAAAAGAAAAGAAAAAAAAAACAGACCCACATTCGGAATAGAACAATTTAGGCATTCTGAGGATATCCAGTGCCTAACTGCTGCTGCTGTTTACATTCAGTGGTGTTATTTGCCAATACCATAACGTGTTCACGCAAACATTGGAGGCTGGAGCTCAATGTCTTTCAATTCCTTCATTGTCTTGGAGTAGGTACCATAAGGTGTGCATGACAACCGGCTGTGAAAACTGGGACTTGCGAGGGCGTAAAATGGAACTCTGCATAAAAGACGTGCGTCATCGTTTTCATTGATTGATGATTCACAGGTCTTCAGGCCGTACAATGTATGCCGCTTTATTTTGGAACAGTTCGATATCGTAAATAGTGTTTCTAGTGGAGCATGTCATGAAGAAGGATCGCTTTTCGAAATTTGTTTGCAGGGTTATGGACTACATAATAACACCGTAGCCTGTGATAGTGTGTATCTGCACGGGCACCAAAGTGACAGCATATGAAGTATTACAGCCACTGGCTAGTGGCTATAATCACTTATTTTTAGTAGTCAGCAACACTCGGACTCTCAAAGGAAGCCCGACGCTACCAGGCATTGGCGCTTAGGTTGGTGTCTATGGGTCCTGGTTTAGCGCATTGATGCTACCTGACCCTACCGGTACTGGCGCACAGTTTCCATGGAAACGTAAGCCAAATTTTCCATTTTTGCCTACGTTTCCATATAAACCGAGCGCCAATACTGAAAGCGTCGATGCGCTGAAACGGGGCCATGGAAACAAGCGCCGATGGGTTAAGTTACGGCCCGGCTGGTAGCGGCAACGGCCGAGGCTGACCTGCCGATCATCAGCTGATTGGCCGGTCCCCAAACAAGTAATCTTGGGTCGAACGGTAGAGTGCGGTGCCCGAGGCAGTCATGGGTCAGGTCACATAGGTAATTACTCATTAATGTAAGGGGGCAAGAGTGCCCCCTCCGCGGCCGCCTTATTGACTCGGCCGCGGCTGCTGCTGGGCGCCGCTGCCGCTGCTGGGCGCCGCTGCTGTGTCGCCTGTGTGTCGCGGCTGAGCGCTGCGGCCGTCCGCCGCCGCGCTGCAGCTCTGCTGTGGTCCGGGTCGTGGGCCGCCCGAGGCAGTGCGCGTTGTCGGCCGCTGATTGGCCGCCTCGGGGCGGCCCCGACCCGGCGTTGGGTCGGGCGCCGTGTGCGCGCGCCAGTGTTGTGCTGGACCTGGTGTCACGTGCGGCGCGGACGTGTCTTCACCGTGTAAATGCAGTGTGGACAATGGACCCGGACCACCTTTATGATGCTGGCCGCAGAAACCGCACGCGAGGCACGTCACCCGAGCGTCGACCGCCCCGGTTCAGCAGACTTGCTGCAGAATGTAGACGATCAGGGGTAGTCACTTTTCCCAACTTGGTCACCGACCATTAGACACAAAATGACGAACAGCCTGCCACATAAAAGTAAAGTATAAATTTGTATGCCTACATTAATAGTTGGTACCTACTACTTTTTATTAATTTAGCTCGAATGTTTGAATGGACGGACTCGGAGCCCACGCTACCTATGCAGAGCTTGGTACGTTAGGCCCTGACCTCTAACGTTCGATCGGTTAATATACTAACTGAAAAATTTTGATGCCGAATGTCCGAATCGGACACGGCTTGTCTCACTCATGACTGAACTGAATTCAGGTGGCTGCAGCTGCCCCCACCCACTCATGCCCACAGTGGCGGCGGAACACCTTCAATTAAGAGGGAGGGCACCGCCGACTTTTGGTCCGTCCATGCAACGCCCGTAGGGCTAATGTTAAAATGCCAAAATAAAAGGGGGCACGGTGCCCCCCCCTCCCGTTCCGCCGCCTATGCGTGCCGAGAGTCTCCACCTCCGGCGCGGCGCTCTATATACAAACTGGGCACGGGCTTTTGACGTGAATATTGGCCATGCATTGTAAGCAGGCCAGCAGGCCAGTAATTACCTACCGGCTACCCTGCTTACGAAAAATAACTTTTTGTTACAGTACAGAGGTGATGATGAATGTAACGTTACACTTACATTGATGATGATGGTTTGGTGCTATGGGGCTTGTTACAAAGAAATAATTACAAATAAATTAGTTACAGTAATACCAGTATCAGCAATATTTTGATGATCTTAGGTTCTGCAAAATCTTTCGCAGTTTCCCTCAAGTTTGAATATTTGCATTCTATGAATTGATTAAAATCATTAGGTGTCACTAGTCCCAGCCACGTCTAACAAATTAGTGCCGTATTCTTTCGAACCAACTGAGCTGTATTTCAATTTGGCGCACCCTAGACAGTTCTTTGACGGCGCTGTTCGGCGGCCGGCTAGCGCGCTAGCCCACGCTCGCATGTGCTCGTTGCCCTGGCAACGGGACATTGACCAATGAGAAGCGTGCTTCGGGTGGACTTGTTTATGAAAATCCTAAGTGACGTTTCACTTTACACGCTTCTCATTGGTCAATAAACCGTTGCCGTGGCAACGAGCATGCATGCGAGCGCGGGGCTACCGCACCAGCCGGCCGCCGAACAGCGTTCGAGCACATGGCGTTTCAGTGCGACTGTAATCCAAAGCGCTTGCCCTTGTTAAGTTATTTTGCAAATTGGCACCTCTCTACAATTATATGTTAGATATGCATGGGTTTTCCTATTTTGCCATCGATAAAGTGGCTACCGGTCTCACTTCATGAGCAGGGTGTAGGGGTCACCTCCTCGCGAGGCGAAAAACGAAAGTTGAGGCCACTCCAAAAAACATGGAGCCCAAAGTAAAGTAGATGTGAAGAAAAATTAAGAGTAGTGACAGTGTATAGGGCCTTAGAGGTGACCTTTAGGGGCTGCCAATGAGAACTGTGACTTGTGCAGTGAGACTGCATCGCGTGGCCATGGCACATCCAACACTGAATAGGTGCGTCTCGCCTCAATCTGCCATGCGTCTTGCAGCGACGCAACTGGAACATGCTCCATCACTGCTGGAATTGCGATTGAAGTGTCGGTACTAAAAAACAATAATTGTTTTTGTTCCACTGCACTAAGTGGATATTGCCATGGTACCCAAATGGTGGAATCTGAAGCAGGGCTCCTGGGGCGATTTAATCAAGGATCTTGAAATTCGCTCAACGTTATCACTTGACAATAAGCCAGTTGAAGGCATGAAGAGTGGGAGAATAGGTATCCCAATAATCATGTGACTAAAATGCCCTCCAGCGCCCTGTTTTCAGATTCCAACCTGTAAATGCACTGCAAAGCCCTGTGCTCCATAGGGCATTTTTGTTTTGTTGATGTTTGTGATACCTAATGAAACATTAAATTGTTTGCTTTGAAATCCTGATTGCTGAGTTTTTCTTTGTTTGCAGGTTTTGGAGACAAGATTAATATCATTACTGGCCTTTTGAAGACTGACTGACAGAGTGAACAGGTATCAATTCAGGAGGATGTCTGATGAAACACTCATTCGGTGAGTCAGCGGGGGAAGCTTCAGTACAATCTTCCTTTTATAGAAGCCCTTTGGTTTTGGAAGAATAATATCTACAATTGGTAGTGTAAACTGGGGTGAATAGGGACATTTTTTGAGTGTTTCACCTTTTATCCATTTTTTATTTTGCTGAACATTTGCTTGTACCAGTATAGTATATATATGACTAGATAAGTGAAACTTTTTTAAATATAAAGGTACTGTATTATAGAAAGCCTTCGCAAACGCGTTTCGATTATATCATCTTCAGTGCTAGCTTCCCATAATACAAAAAGAAAATGGTACAAAAGTTCACAACACATCGCAAATACACACGCTGCAATTTTTTCTCACAATATCACGGGTAGAATGTTTTTATATACTTCTGGAATGCAAGACCGCAAAACGCCCCTCCTAAGGTGTAAAAGCCCCCCTTATGGTTCGTACATGGCACACTTTGAATTAATGCCGACTCAAGAATTTTTCTGTGCGATCTCTTCAGACCTGATTTCACCGCACTGGCTTTATCCCACTTAGGTAGGTGACCCTCTGTTTCGGCATGTAACGTAATTGAGTTAGACAATTACGTAATTAGACAATAACGTAATTGAGTTAGACGTTTTTGTATTATGGGAAGCTAGCACTGAAGATGATATAATCGAAACGCGTTTGCGAAGGCTTTCTATAATACAGTACCTTTATATTTAAAAAAGTTTCACTTATCTAGTCATAATTGTCACAATGAACGTTCAACAATAGTATATATAGTTGATTGAGGTTGTGTGGATCCAGCATGCACAGTACCATTAGTGTTTGTTCTTGTATCTGGTTGATGGAGATGTTGTCTGGCATGAGTCTGGCCGCTTTGCTGCACTCCTCCCAGCGAATGAGGAAGTACTCCCAGTCGGTGCTGCTGCTGCCTGGAGCTATCGTGGGCCTCTGAAGCTTGTGTGGCACTGCTGGCCTAGGGGCCGCTTGGTGTGTGCTGCTGTGGCTTGTCAGAAGCGCGGCAACGATGACCGGGTCATAGTCGGGCGTCACGTATGGACATCCATCAATTGGACATGCCACGGATGGCATCTTGTGAACTGTGAGTTGTGGACACCAACATAAATGAGGGGGCACTCTTTGTTATTGTATTTCTCCAACACAAACACAATGTTGGTGTCCACAATCTGGAACAAAACAGAAAGTTGTTAAGTGAGCTGCACAGGGCAACAGAACACCATCCACAAACACCAGAGACACTATCTTCTAGCCACACTGACTGGCGCACAGTCCAACTTACAACCTACTTGATACCCTTTGTATGCTTATCTGCTATTGTTATGCTCTTGGTGTCGCCATGTTGACTGTGAGATATTTAGTAAGTTGTGACCAAAGAGGCATTCGTAGGTGACGTTTATTCAGTGCAACGAATGCCCTCGCATAAATGGATCTGGAAGGGAGACAAGAATTAGGCATGGTAACCCTTCAGACACGGTGGACACATCCCTACATCCCCCCAGTTTGAGAGAACAAGCGAAAAAACTCAATGATCACACTGATAGGCCTCCAGGTATCGAGGCGGGCGTCGGGGTCGATGGCTCCTACGGGGAGGTGGCGATGACTTGTTCGAAGACTCAGGATCGCAAGACGGGCTCCGTGGTGCGGCCCCAGCCTCGTAGCCGGCGGCGGGGGCCGCGACGGCCTCGGGGTGTGTGGGCTCGCTGATGGCGGACCAGTGTTCTAAAATTGGATTTTGGTTGGGTGTGACGATGATGATCAAAAAATCTAGGATGAAAAAAAACAAGTGAAAACCTATATCACTTTCGCAATAAAGGCGTAACGCTACGCTGGCTGATAATAAAAGAACATACCATTCCTGACCACCAAAACTAACCGAAAAAGACGATGCAAATAGGTAAGGGTGATATACGGCAGAATTATAACTTTAGCATCTGATCGCCAAGTGTTTCGAAATCCGTCCCATTTTATCCCAACCTTTGTGTTTGATTGAGACTAATGAAGTTAAGAATCACCCTTGTCTCTTATACAGCTAAGAATGAATACCTACTTCAACCAGTGAGATTTCATTTTCCTCACAAGTCAAAATGCATTGTCACAATTGAATGACTGTCCAGTGGCCATCCTTCTCCTAGCCTTAAATCAATGCCTTCCTTTCCGTTTCAGATGCAGACAGCAGATATTACCGTCAGCATCTGCTAAGTTCCTACTCATGCTTACTGGCACGGATCCAGGACGGTCCTTCTGCCTGTATATTTCTCCTAAAGAAAATCATCCGCGGACCTCCATCCTCGCGACGCCAGTCGCCATCATGCGAGCGAACTAGGTCTTTAAGAAGCAGAAGATGCAATGATTCTGTTGAAATCTGTTGTCATATCTTAAGGAGGGTGGGGGAGGGGCGGGTGAGGGAGCTCTCTCTATATGCGGGCTTTGGTACTAGTGCCATGTGGAGAAGTTTTCTTTCTTTTTTAAGCAAAGGAAGTGGGAAGGAACCTGTCTTTGCCGTTGCAAAGGGTATCATTCTGTCGTCCTGTATTATTGATTTAGTGCAGTTGACTCAGACTGTGTAATGCGTGAGGCGTGGTCATCACTGTGACACTGTCAGACATTAAATTTTAGGTAATCATGATACCCTGATGGGCAGTTTGTTGACGTAACTGATCGCTATGAAACCGGACACCGTATAACTCATGTGTTCTGGCCTCTGGGACGTTTTGCGCCTACAATATGGCAGCACCGCTTCCAAGATTACTGTATATTTGAGATAATATGCGGCAATATAAGTATGTAGTTTTCACTTTTCGTTCGCATCTGATCTGGTAATATTCGTACAGTGTACGCAGTATAGCTTTGAGCTTTCCATTTTCAACAGATATGACAATGGCCGGATTATACTGGAAATGGTGCCTTTGCTCTGGGCACACGGAACGGGACGCAGTATTAAGTATGCAATTGCAGTCGCACTATGCAGCATGACATACGCCGGAAATCTCCCGGCCCGAACGCCGGAACGGCCAGCGATAGTCGGTACTCATTACGCATAGTGAAAATGGAAACGGTATCAGCGCAACTCTTCGAAAGGAACGGTGCACTACTCGTACATGAGACTAGACAAAGGGTCACTGATTAGGGCACCCCAAACGGAACGATGTGCACTGCGCAGCATAATACGCAATATCGCAATAAAAAGCGTGCAACTAACCAGTAACCAGGGCATCCATATAGGAACGGAACGGGATGCAAAAAAAAAAAAATGATAAAAGGATGCCACCGACCTCATGGCCGGCCACCGAAACGGAGCGGTAGCTTCGTATCATGTCACGTGATAAGTGCTGAGTGAGAGCGTCAATGATCAGTGATCAGTGATCAGAGTACCCGCAACAGAACGGAGGGCATCAGTGATCACTGATCAGAGCAACTGCAACGGAACGGAGGATCGCTGATCAGGACACCCAAAGCAGAAGGGAAAGCGAGAGCACAACTGACCAGAACACCCGAAACCAAAACGGAACGGGAGTGAACGGAACGCATTAGCAGCTCGCCGAATCGCGATTCCGGCCAAACATGGCCTCAAGAAATAGGTCACAGGTCAAAGGTCATTTGGGTCAGGAATATGAGATTTTCAGAGTAGGTGTCAAATTAATTGACTCGAGAGTCCTGAAAGTTTCGTCGCGATCGGCCGCTTTTTACGCGAGTTATTCTCGAAAAAACGAGGGGGTGGTTCGTTCGACCCCCCCCCTATACGGGCGAAGGATAATTTATTAAAAAGCTAGGGCCTTCTTAATCCCATCTACCAGCTTCAGAACATGTATTGGGCAGATCTGGGAATACCGTATCTTAAATTTATCCCTAGAGGTGTGCCAAGGTATCCTTTCATTCATCTTGGCTTTCCCTCGGCCGAACGCTTCGTGTTTAAAAACCTTTAGAAACAAATTGAAATGAATAATTGGCGGTAAGATAATTGCAAAGGCATGAGAAATTAACGTAAAATACATCATTACCGGTCTTATAACCTCATTTCGCGTATGAAACCTGCCAGAGTCCACAGAGTTTCATATTCATCCCTAGGGTGTGCCAGGGTGGCGTGTCAGTCATCTCGAACCCCTGCCCGACCCGACGCCTCGAGTTTTAAAGACATCTAAAAACTAATAACGTAAATAGTTTGTGGTGAAATTGATATAATGTGATCAGAAAAGAACGCAGAATAAATTAGTATCGGTCTCAAAACATTATTTTGCCTATGAAACCAGCCAGAGCCCGCGGAGTTTTAAATTCATCCCTAGGGTGTGCCCAGGGTGGCTTTTCTCATCTTGGACCTCTACCAGGCGCGACGCCTCGAGCTTTAAAGTCCTCTAGAAGCCATTGACGGACATAATTTGTGGCGAAATTAATGCGATAGGATCAGAAATAAACGCAGAATATATTGGCATCGGTCTCAAAACATTATTTTACCTATGAAACCAGCCAGAGCCCGCGGAGTTTTAAATTCATCCCTAGGGTGTGCGCAGGGTGGCTTTTCTCATCTTGGACCTCTGCCAGGCCCGACGCATCGAGCTTTAAAGTCCTCTAGAAGCCATTGACGGACATAATTTGTGGTGAAATTGATACAATAGGATCAGAAATGAATGTAGAATAAGTTGGTACCTGTCTCATACCCCTACTTTGTATATGAAAGAAGTTAGAGCAAAGCAAGTTTTAAATTCATCCCTAGGGTGTGCCAGGGTGTGCCCAGCTGACTGCGGGTCCAAAGATGAAAATTTTGTAGGCGTATCCTGCGCAACTTAGTCAAAAGCGAAATGCAGAGGTAGTGTTTAATTTGCGCAAGCAGCGGCTCATCCGTTTTGCGTTGGCAGCAAACCACTAATCATAGTCGTTATGAATATCCAAAAGCATTTATTCAGAACACAAGCCTGGTTTTTACAAACAGTTGAGGTGATCAAGGTCATTCAACGCATATTTGTTATTAACAGCTGGAAGTGTGCAAGGTTATTTTCTTTCGTTGTCAGTCAGGGTGAGTTGTTGGGTTTGTGCCTTGATTTCGATTTTTTTCATGGAAATTATGTATTATGTAGCAAACCTATAAGTTCTATTCTAACTGTCTATATGGCGCTGCTAGGTATATCTGGTAATCTGGCTGTTAATTGTTGAGCATGAGTTGAGCATTTTTCAAAGATGAAAGAATTCCAATTTACCTGGTTTTGGGGATGAAAATATTTTACCCATTAGGTGTGATTTTCCACCCAAAATTCCCAAAAATGGAACACTGTGGCGGACCCAGGCGGCGACTTGCTGGCTGGAGTGGCAGCCGGAGGTGGGCCTGGCGCCGACGGAAGCCATCCTGTTTTCCGTCCTGTTATGTAATTCTTTAAAAGTCGTAGGTATCAGCTTGCCGTTTTACAGCAGCTAGGACCAATAAACTATAGGTACACTCGGGGGCAGATTGATGTTCCACCACTCCCTACCCATCGGGCTCCCATGGCTCAGCGCTGGCTGCTGTCAGTGGCAGCACTGGCAGCACTGGCACTGGCAGGCAGTGCTGAGCAGCGCTGAGGGCAGGCAACACTGGCAGCAGCCAGTGCTGAGTCATGGGAGCCCGATGGGTAGGGAGTGGTGGAACATCAATCTGCATCCGAGTGTACCACTTGGCTTTCAGCTCCTGAACCATGATCTTCAGTTCCTGAGATGGCGTAATTTTCTGATTGATGTCAGCTGAAATGTAGAACATTTCATCAGTTTCTTTTGGCCATTTCCAGTTCAGACCACTCTGACCATTGGCTTGATTTTACAGCCATGTTCCTGGGTTGACGTACCTATGCTCAAACACATAGCAGCATTTCAGGAGATGTTACTAGGTACATGGTAATGATGGAGCTCATAGCAACGACCGCGGACCGTGGAGGGCGTGTATTCTCCTACTGTCGGGAACATGACTATTTTCCCTCTGTAATAACACGAAATGTGGGTTCCTACTAAACTACGTTGTTGCTAAACGAGGCTCATGTCTAGGACACGCCTGCAACTCTAATGACAGTGTGTGCCGCACCGTCTGCCACCCAGTGCAGTGCACAACAATCGATCGGTTACAGCCGAGCGGCGTTGCTGCAGCTGCAGCATGGCGGCGGCAGCTCGCAGGGGACCAGCGGCTCTGTCCGGCGGCGCATGGCGAACCGTCTGTATTGGAGCTGCAGCGATGGCGTGACGCTGACCTGTACTGAGCAGACCGAGCTGGACTTGTACCGAGCAGGCCGAGCTGCGGCGGTGGCGCGTCAGCTTTCAGCGGCTCTGTCAGCGGCGTCGCATGACGGACCGTCGTTCCTCTTGTCTCTCACGAGCGTCGGACGGTCACTGGTCAGCATCGAGAGCCGAGAGGTGGCGCTAGTAGCGCCACAGTGGTGCGCTTTGGCCGCGCTCACGCGGAACCTTCCGCGCATCATCCGTGATGAATCACAATCAAGTCATCGCAATGTTCTTGTATTCTCTGGCCAAGTCAAGCTCCGCCACGCGGCCAAGACGACACACACTCCGCGGCAGCTCCCTGAAAACCCCATAGAGGGCGCCGCCATCTATCAACTACGGTTAGTCGCATACACATCAACTCCTCCCCCAGTTCTTAACTAACACATACATACACCGCTACACCTGACCCTATAGGTCGAGCCGCTCCGGCGGTCGAGACACGCGGCTCGATCGGCGTAGCTGAGGAGCTGGGGAGCTGGGCGGAACAGCGACCTCAACAGGCGGCTCCGTCAGTACCACAGCCGACGGCACATCAGCAGTTGCGCGCGGCACATCGGCAGTTGCGCGCGACACATCAGAGGAA